TCTAAACTTTTCAAATTCTCCCAGCTTCTTCCAACTGCAGTCTTCTTACAAGCTCTTCTCTCTGTTGGGGAAGACCTTTCCTTCCAATATGCTTCTCCCTTTCCACCCTTGCTCATCTCATCTTCAGAAACTAATTTTTATATCACTTCTTTAGACCCACCTTCCCTGACCCTCTAGAAGTAAATACTCTTATGTTACCTTGTGCCTTCTTCTTATGGCTTGTCAGAATTTTAAGCACTCAGTAAATATCTGATTAATGTGATTTATTTTTCATCTTCTCATACCTGTGCAGTTGTGTTACTCAGAAGATTAAATAAACAGCAAGATTCATTGCAAGGATGTCCAAATTTTTGTCTTCCTTGGGCCACATTGGAAGAAGAAGAATTGTCTTGGGCCCACGTAAAATACACTAACACTAATGTTAGCTGATGAGCTAAAAAATTCATTTTAAAAAACCTCATAATGTTTTAAGAAAGTTTATGAATTTGTGTTGGGCTGTGGATTGGACAAGATTGTATTATAGAGTTGGAATTCATTGGTGGTCTTGCTTGGTCAGGAGCTCCCCTGGTTCACAAGGTTAGATCAAATGCAGGAGATAATAAAACTCTTTTGAGAACTGTTTTGGGCTGTTCTCCCAATGCTATGAATAAATATCTGAGATTGGGTAATTTATATAAAAAAGAGGTTTAATTAATTCATAGTTCTGCATGGCTGGGGAGGCCTTAGGAAACTCACTGTCATGACAGAAAGCACCTCTTCCAGGGCAGCAGGAGAGAGAATGAGTGCCAGTAGGGGAAATACCAGATGCTTATAAAACCATCAGATCTCGTGAAACTAACTGACTCTCATGGGAACAGCATGGGGAAACTGCCCCCATGATTCATTTACCTCCACCTGTTCCCACCCTTGACATGTGAGGATTATGGGGATTACCACTCAAGGTGAGATTTGGGTGGGGACACAGAGTCAAACCATATCAGGAATGGACATACTGTACACATAAATGCTGTCTCACTTTGATTCTTACAACAATCTCTTGTGAGTTCTGTGTATTATCTCCATTTGATAGATGAGAAAACTGATGTTCAGAAAGAAAAAGTGACTTCTTCAAATTCACATGGCTCAGATATGGTAGAGGCAGAATACCCACAGACGTTTCTTTGACTCCAAAATCCCAGATACGATTGGAATTACAAGAAAAGGCAGTGACATGCTCATTTTTTTAATTTTAATTTTCACTATGACATTTTGAATAGGCCAAGGTCAAAAATCAAAATAAACATAAAAGAGAAGTCCTGTAGATTTCCTGCTGCTAGTTGGAGCAGAACAATAGATCTGAAAGCACCAGAATAAGGGCAATATGGAATTTTGGAGAGCTAAATTTTTTAATTATTTATTTTCCGGTTTCTTATTCATTAAATTAAAGAGGTGTTGAGTAGTCCTGCAGCATGAAAGAAATATATTCCATCTTTTCTTTTTATTATATTTTGATGAGGTTTATATACATTGAGTGAATTCTTGCATTGTTATAAAGGACTAGCTGAGACTGGGTAATTTACGAAGAAAAGAGGTTGAAGTGATTCACAGTTTTTTAGGCTGTACAGGCAGCATGGTTGGAAAGACCTCAGGAAACTTACAATCATGGCAGGAGGTGAAGGGGAACCAGGCACATCTTATACGACTGGAGCAGGAAGAAGACAGTGAGGGAATGATTTCACTCAGATGTTTATCAAACACATATTTAGTACCAGATGCCAGTTAATGCAGATATGAAAAGTGCTTACACATTTTTAAACAACCAGATCTCATGAGAACTCATTATCAGGAGAACAGCAAGGGGAACGTCTGCCCCCCTGATCCCCGTCACCTTCTACCAGGGCAGTCCTCCAACACTGAGGATTACAATTTGACTTGAGATTTGGGCAGGGACAGAAATCCAAACCATTGTCACTGAGTAATGCAGGAATAAAGCTAAACAGGATAAACCATCCTATTTCCTTGTTCCTCCAGTTGCAATGACATACAAAATAGTCTACTACATTTTTTCCCCTCGTACTTCAAACAGCATGAGTAAGTCTACATTTGGAACAAGAGGGATTTTAACGTGGGCAGATGTGTTTAAAGAAGGGAAATGGGAGGACTGGGTGGTTTGATTATTTCAAATTATTTGTGAGGCTGAGCCTTTGGCTTGTTAGGATGATTCCTGCTAATGTTACAGTCTGAAATTTTATCCTTTTGTCTTAACATCTCTGTAATGTACATCACTTCTCCCCCAACCCCCAAGCACCCTATATGAATGTGGGGCCTAATATGAAAATAATACAAAGGGGAATGTGGAGGAAAACTGCTATGTATGAACTGATAGCAAAAAGCGGAGATGATGGCAATCCATTATTTGGGATTCATGATAAGACCTAAGTCCCATGAGTCTGGAAAAACAGAAGCACTATGCAAGCATATATCAAAACATATTTAATCTATTAAACAGGTATATTTAAACTATTCATCTCCCAGTCTAGTAAGCATTAGCCAGTTTGACAGAACCGGTGCTGGGCGAGATGTGGTTAAATTTGCAGAAAACTCAGAGGGGGGAATAAAAAAGAATCATCAAGTTGCAGAACAAAATGGGAAAAGTGAAAAGAATATTCAAAAAAAATTTGAGGAAATTTCATCTGGAGAACAAAGAACCTATGGGACAGGGTAAAAAATGATTCAGAAGATAGTGAATTCATCTCATTTCTCACGTATGTAGGATATACCCTGGTTCCAAATACCTGGAGGGAGACTGGGTGAATATAAGAAAATGTCAGCTATTTCTTAGGAATAACGATTTCACTCAGATGTTTATCAAACAGGTATTTAGCATCAGATGCTAGTTACTGCAGATATTATGGTGAACAGAGATATGGTTTATGCCCTCACTGAGCATACAATCTAGTTTAAAGAAGCAAAACATAATGTGACAAGTATAAAGATCGATGAAAGACAAGTTGACCTGGGAAGCAAATAGTAAAACACCTGACTGGCCATGATTGCAGGGAAATTTCTGGACAGCATGGAGATTTGGAGGATAACACCTGCGTTGGTTAGTTTTATGTGTCAACTTGACTAGGCTACAGTGTTCAGTTATTTAATCAAACACGAATCTAGAATCTAAGTGTTGCTGTGAAGGTGTTTCGTAAATGTGTTCAGCATCTACAGTCAAACTTCAAAAAGGGATTGCTCTAGGTAATATTGGTGGGCCTATATCACAAGCAATTGTGAGCCAAAAATGAGATTTCCTGGAAAAAAAGAAATTCTGCCTTAAGACTGAAGCATCGACTCTTGCTGGAGTTTCCAGCCTGCCAGAGCTGCCCTGTAGATTTCAGAGGGACTTGCCAGCCCCCATCATCCTGAGCTAAGTCCTTAAAATAAATCTGTTACCCCACACACGTACACATAAAGGTGTGTGTGTGTGTGCGCGCGCGCACATGTTCCATTTCTCTAGAGAACCTTACTGATAAGGTACCTTAGTCATGTAAAGTTGGTGTGTGTGGGGGTGTGCACTCAGGCAAGGTGACTTCCCAGGAATTCTTAGAGTGATAAAGAGTAGCCAGATCAGGAAGCACATTATAGGTGACCTAGAGACTTTGTAAAGATTGTGAGAGGATCAGATGCACATTTTTAAAAGGACATCTGATTGTATTACTTTTGAACACGTAAGTTGAGAAAAATGTGTTTGAATTCCAACAGGAAGGATATTAGGAAGATTTTTTTTTTTTTTTTTTTTAATGGGGAAAGAGGTGCTGAATGTATTCTGGAATCTAGAAAAAATTGCATTTTTATCATTGACGGTAACAGTTTTGCAAAAGCTTTTTGTTTTTGTTTTTGTTTTTGTTTCCTACAATTACGTCTGTATTTTTCACTAAGAAGTTCTTGTAACTGGGAAAATACTCCAATCTGGCCGAGTAGCAGTCATGGAAGAAAAACTCTCGCAAACAGCAGTTGCAGTGGGAGGGTGGAGGTCATCAGGGGATTCCCGCTGAGAAAGTGGGAAGGAAGAGAGTTTAGAAACGGATCGAAGTTCCGCTACATCACGTGTGTTGTGAGAGAATTCGCCTATTACGACGACGGCAACGTCTGATCTCCTGGCTTTCTTCCCCTCCTTGGCGGGTTCTGTTCCGTCCCCTTGTCGCCTAGAGTTTGGCTGTCCCTGCGCCGGGGTCTTGGAGTTTGGGCGGGGTCTGGTACCTGCCAAATAGGGATCTTGATGGGGAAGAGGTCTGGGAGCCCTGAGTTCAGGCTGGGGTCGGAGTTCTCTCACCTTGCAGCTCCCACCTGCCACGCTTAGAAACCTACGTCTCCAGCAAAGGGGTCTTGCTCTGAGAGAACCTAACCGGGTTTTCTTCCATTCCCTTTGCATCTCAAGGTGTCTTCGCCCTGGCTCCAGGTGCGTTCCCCATCCTTTTCGGTCCGGGGCGTTCTGCTGATTATAGCGCCCTGCTCAAGTCCAGCACCGCCGGAAGTGAAGTGGGGCGACCTGGTGACTCCTTAACCCTTCCCCAAGGTGGAAGAAGCCAGGGTCTTCATGACCTCCCCTACTCCAGGGATCTCAAGGCGCCAATGGGGACACTTCCCTGTACCAGTCTGGGGTGCCACGAGGGCGAGGAGGACCCCCAAATGCAGGGGTTCAAGGACTTGCGTCCCAAAGCTTGGACCCACACTCGGTCCCACACCCCGAACGCTGGCCGGGAAGGAGATAGGATGAAGCGCAGTGTGATGTGGATGCCAGATAGCGAGAGTGAGGATTTTTTGGGGAGTGGGGATGGGGATTAGTGGAAGGGGCTGAGAGGGGAAGAGGCAGCAGGTGAGCCAAGGGGTTGTGCCCCTAGGAGGAGGGAAGAGGGGGTCTTTAGAAGGGAGCATCTTGCAGGGGCGACGCAGGCAAGGGTAGGGCTAGGAGGAGGTGCGGGGAAGCAAGCCCTGGCGGTGAGACAGGAGGGGGAGGAGGCGAAGAGGAGGGAGTTCCTAAAGGAGGGAAACGAGTCGGCGAGGGGCGACAGGAGCTAGCAGGGAAGGGAGAACAGCGGAGGGCTGCAGAGCTGCGGAGGGCTGCAGAGCTGCGGGCGCCCGGACCGTGCCACACACCCCCCGCGGGGCACGGAGGGCATTGCCGGGGGAGACACACAAAGACATGCGAAGAGGGGTTGAGCAAGGCTCGCGCACAAAGACGCCGGGGCGCACGGCAGCTCGGGCTGCACCCACCGCCCCCGCGCCGCGCCGTGCCGGGGCCGGGCCAGCGAAGAGCCCCGGGCTGAGCGCGTGGCGGCGGCGGCGGCGGCGGCGGGGAGGCGCGGGACCCGGGTCGCCCGCGCTCTCCGGGTGACCCGGGCCCGGCAGCAGGCGCGCGCGGGGGCGGCGGCGCCCAAGCCCAACTTGGCCTCCGCCTCGCCCTCTGCCCAGCCCGCCGGTGTCCCCTCCTTCCCGCGATTTCGTTTCTTCTCACGCTCCCCCCCCCGCCCCCTCCCGCGTCCAGCCCCGCTCTCCCCACCTTGTAAAACAAAGCCGGGGAAAATGCCTGCCCGTGCAGCTCGGAGCGCGCAGCCCGTCTCTGAATAAGAAGTGAGTACAATGGCGTGTTTGTAAAAAAAAGCTTCAAGTCCGTCTTTTTCAAAAAACATTTTGAATGCTGCATGCCTCATGCTTCCCAGCGCCTCGCGGGAGAGACCCGGCTATAGAGCAGGAGGTGAGACCCCCCCCTCCGGTACCCCCACCCTTCTGGCCGCAAGCTCTCCTGCCCCAGCCTGTTCTGGGAGGACTGCAAATGCCCCCTCTCAGCAAGCGGCCGTTTCCCGTCTTCGCTTCGCGTCCAAAGTGTTGGGTCATAATCTGGATTTGGAGGCAAACCCTTGCCAGATCCTCTCCTCGCCGCTTCTCCCCCCTCTCCCGCCGGTGCCCGGGGTTTTTGCATCTGCCTGAGGTATGGGTTTGGAACACCTTGGGGGAGTTTCCCATGGAGAAGGAGGGTCAGCCCTTGGGAGTAGCCGACAGGCAGGACTCATGGTGACCCTGGTCACACTTGTTGCCCATTGCCTGGTGGGACAGGCAGTGGTGCTGAAAAAAGCTTGTTTCCCCTGCTATTCAGTGGTCAGTCACAGCTGGAGCGAAGACATATCTGGGTGAGAACAGAAGACCGGGATTAACAGAAGACTGTGATGAGCTGGGGGAGGGGAGTGGGTAGTGACGGTGTTGAGTGTGTGTGGAAGGGGCAGCTTCTCTCCCTGATCATACATCAAATGGCGTGGAGGTGGAAACCAAGAGGTTCCCTGTATTAAAGAGAAAAGTCTGCTTTTATTTTTTTAAATATTATTTTGGTATTTCATCAGTTTTTGTCCATTCTGTCTGCCAAATGTACATTACATATATTTCTGCTAATTAAAAAATAAGGCAACAACTTAAAAGAATTAAACTCCTTCTGGAAATGTATTAGGTTAATGCACAGACACACACACACACACACACACACACACACACACACACACATACACACATAATATTTTAAAAATACCTGCCCCTTTCTCCCAAAAGCATATAATGGCAATGTGGCAATGTCTTAAAGGAATTTCAGATTGGGATTTGGTGACATCCAGGTAAACAGTCTTAGTGCTTTCTGGTTCAGCAGAGTGGAAACCACTGATGTGAAAAATCACAAATAGGAGAGCACAGAGATCTGAGGAGGAGAGGTTTGGAAAGCTTCGTTTAGAGTGATACTGTGGAACTTCTATGTGATTTTTTGTTGTTTTTATTCCAAAGATGGCTAAATTTTAAATGATGACTTTTGTTTTTCACTCAGACTCACTAAGCAGCTAGGAGGTTGTGGGGAGTCTGCAGATTGTAGTGATTTTAGCTATTATCAGCACTTCTATTTTAACAGTTTTTTAAAAATTATAGTATTTAACACATGTCCAGTGCTAATTTTGAGTGAAGGTGTCTTTATAAATATTTTAAAGGTGCCTACTAGCTGTGGCTTTATTTGGAACAGGTGAATGTATCAGGAGAGAAACATGTGCATTCTTCTGTGTAGTAGGTTGAACCTTAGGAAATTGCTGTAATAAACTATATGTACATGGAGTCTCCACTTGGAGCCATGGGTACAGAAACCTCATCACAGCTCTAATTTCATTTCTTCCAAATCAGATCCATTCGGAGCTTTGCTGATTGAGGATCCTGCCTTCTGCCATCATTTTACAACACTACTTAGGTCTAGTGTTTTAAATAGCTTTGTTTGCAAAGCTTCTTTTTGATGGGCAATTAGAGTTGTATTTTATAAATTAAAACTATGGTAGCCTACATTTAACTCACAGTGTTAGGTAAGAGGGCAGGGTAGGCAGCCATGTGAAAATTGGCATTTTTTATTAGCTTCTCATACTGAAGTAATTTCAGGTGGCTGTAGGGTATTTGAGTGCAATTCCTTGGAGATTTCTTATATACTTACCTGAAAGTGTGTTTTAGATAAGATTATCATTTTATAACTTTTATTATATACATGATAGCAAGTTAACTGAAATCTGTAACAATTATGGACTTTAAGTTGATTATTCTGTTTGAGTTGATGGTTTTTAGAAGTCTTATTTTTCAGCCATTCTATTAACCCTTTTTAGTTCAATGTTGTCTTTCAATAAAATGTCCTGTAGTAGGTGGTTTATTTTCCTCTTAGCAAGTAGAAGTCTGGTATCTCTTATATTTTTGAAAAAGAAATCCATTAATGATATTTTTGAACATCTGTGATAAATAATAAATGGATTTATAGTCACCTCAGAGTATATGGCAATTTGTAAGAGAACCATATAAATCCACTCTAATGGAGCAATTAGCTCTGAACAGAGCATGTAGAGAGTCTAAGCTGTGAGCCACGGTTTTTTTTTTTTTTTCCTTGATACTGTTCACATTTGAAAAGGAAGGTACTTGTCTTCTCTTGGTTGTGTCTAGGATTGACACAATGATTAGCAGTAACTTTTATTTGTAAAACAGGTCAGAGATTGAAAAACAAAATACAGAGAATGTTTCATCACGAGCCCACTTTGGAGGATGGGCAAAAAGACAAGATTCGACCGTCGAGTGGTTTATTTACCACCATGTTTTACCAGAAAATGATGAATGATATATTTTGAGCAACAATGTTTGGATCACAAATTCTCTTATAATGCAATTCATTTATTGTAATAAATTAAATAGAGAATGTTCTTTATATTGCTTGCTTGTGGTATAAATTTCTTGAGAATGGGAATAACCGTGATCCGTCTTCCTGAATATTCCAATATCTAGTTAAGTACCATCAACTTTTAGGAGTTCAGTATCTCTTTGTGGACTGGCACAGTGGACAGATGTAAATTTAGAAATTTATTAAGAAGCCCTCAGGCATTCTTTCCTTTTTTTGAAGTTTCTTGGTTCGACTCCAGTTTTTTTCCCTTTCATTTGAAACTCTAGTAGCAGAAGAGAGCACAAATCCAGCCCCCTTTCCTTGAACCAATATATGTGGTCCTGAGATCTAGTGACAGCACTCCTGGTTTGGGTTCCAGATCTTCCACCAGGAGAGCCAGCGGAATTCAGTCAACCTTCTCTGACCCCTTAAAGAAGAAGCCCGACCAAATCCCTTCTCATCTCCTCCAACCTAACCCTCATTCTCTGTTGTTGTCAGTGGCGGCACCTGACTTGCTGGATCCTAAATCTGCCGCTCAGAACTCCAAACCGAGGCTCTCGTTTTCCACGAAACCCACAGTGCTTGCTTCCCGGGTGGAGAGTGACACGACCATTAATGTTATGAAATGGAAGACAGTCTCCACGATATTCCTGGTGGTTGTCCTCTACCTGATCATCGGAGCCACCGTGTTCAAAGCATTGGAGCAGCCTCATGAGATTTCACAGAGGACCACCATTGTGATCCAGAAGCAAACATTCATATCCCAACATTCCTGTGTCAATTCGACAGAGCTGGACGAACTCATTCAGGTAATGGCATGGGAGGAGTTGTTACTCCGTTCCCCCAAATGGGAAAGAAAGTGATAGGAGACAACTTGTAGCCCAGTGTATTACGGGTGTGCTGGTGGGAGCCCTATCCCACCTCGTTTGCCTTAACATATAGCTCTTTCCCTCAGTTTCTTTGTCTCGTTTCCACTTCTCCTGCCTATGCTCTCACTTCTGCCATCTTTTCTTCTCTTCCTCTTTTAGTTCTCTCTCCCAGTGTTCCTTCACATCCTCTTCTGCTTCTGTTCTTCTGTATTTCTTTCCTGTTGTCTTCCTGCTTTCTTTCCCTTTCCCCTGTCTTAGAAGTACCAGTGGACACCCATAGGGTTGCAGTTACCATGCGGAAGGTCCTCATGGTTAGGATGATCGTTGTCAACTGAGAAACACTGCTGTGGCAAAGGAGAGGGAAACAAAATATACAGAAATGTGCTTTAATCTTGGCAGTGGCCATCATAAGATAGAAAAGATGAATTCATGATGTGACCCTCTTGAGATGAGTACCCCTCAGGTCAACAAGTTGTAGCTTACCTCTTTAGCCAAGGTGTAACTTTGACGACTACCTTTTTAAAGTATCTGCAGATAAGTGATTAATTATTGCTTCTCTAACTCCCAGCTAAGATAAATTTACTACTACAAAGAAAAAGAGTTTTTGTATAAAACTAATTTAGTTCTAATTTACCCTATAATAGCGAACAATATCCTTACAGAAAAACATTTTGTTTTAAAAATTAATCCCAATAAGTTTCAGTTAGGCTCTTTAGAGATGGCAGTATTTTGTTTTTTTGTAGATTTCTTTTGCATAAAACAATTCATTGGTCAAATCAGGATCTTAGTCAAGTTGAAAGCTTTAGAATTTTCTCACAAGGAGTGACTTGACTGGTTGTTGAAAATGTTTTAATTGTATACACATTTGTTTTCCTATAGAGCCTACTTTTCTTACCTGATTTAATTCAAATTGGAATGGAAATTATCTGTGAGACATCATCTGAGCATGTTCTTTCTTATTTCATATTTGGTTTTACATTGTTTGAATGAGTTGGAATAGTGGATTGAGGGGAGAAATTATTGTTGACTTTAATCCTGCTTTTTGTTTGAGGACCCTTTCTCTCATTTCCTCTTGCCTTGGATCTCAAGATGCTACCTCTGCCCTTCATAGTCCTCTCAATTTACAGCATATGCATACATGTTCTTATTCAAATTTTATTGAAAGATATCAAAACTAGTGTTCTCTGGCACCTATTTACTTTCTACCACATTCAGAAATTTCAGCATCTGAAAATTTGACTTAAGTTTTGAAAATGCTGTTCATTTATATACTGAATTCTCTAGGATTTTTAGATGATGGTGACCTTTTCAGTATTGACAGTGAAAGTGCCAGCTGACATTATTGTCCCAACTGCCCCCTTCACAGGTCCCATGTAAGATCACTTTCATTTCATTCTCTCTTTGGGCCACATAGTCCTATGTGGTACTAAAAATCTTTGAAGAATCCTCACTTCCCTTGGTTTCTGAAGAAGAGCTCTTGGGTATCTTGGTGGAGGCAGCATGGTGCAGTAGTAAAAGCTTCAACTTTGGGAGCAGACAGGATGTGTGTTGAACTGCAGTTGAGTGTTTTATTGGAAGTGTCATCTTAAACAAGTAGTTTTCCTCTTTAAGCCTTAAATGATCTATCTGGAATGAGGAAAGAGTATCTATCAAGTAGGTTGTTGTGAGGTAAAGAGATAATCCATGTAAAGTGTTTTGGTGCTCAAAAAGTGTTAGATTTGTTTTCTGTGGTTATTGTTTTCGTCTCTTGTCCCTTCATTGGATTGTAGCCTCTGATTCATGTAGTTGCATTCTTATCACCTGGAGTGAGTTGCTTGGTTGGACAGGACAGGAAAAAAAAAAAAAGACATGACCAGTGTTTCAGGACAACACTGGAAGAAATTTTTTGTGAATTTGAAAATGGTCTCACTATCCAATATTACCCAGATTTGTTAAGAATTCTAAAGATAACTTGAAGGTCATGGCAGGTAGGAGCAATCTGGTGGTGAATACTGACCACTTTTTGCTACATTGTCTTTGAAATGGAAACAAGCAGAAATCAAAATATGACCTAAGATTTTTCTCTGTGCTCTGCATGGGCAATCCATTTTAACTTTATTAATTTTCTCTGCTGATTATTTTTGCTTTGTAAAAATCTTTTTTTATGCTGATTCAATATTTTTCAATGCAGAAATTACCTATTATTTACTCTTATACTGTTCACCTTTATAACCCATTGGTTTTAATAATTATTTTTTCTTTTTCAACATAATTTATTTTGATAAAAGAAATCTTTACAATGCCATGGCTTCAAGGATCAAGATTAGTGTGTAAACAGGGAGGAAGTTAAATAAGCCAGTAATCATATATTAGAATTACACTTCCTTCATATGATTCTTATAAATTTTCCGATCTTTTTTTCACATTTATTTTCCCATTTAATCATCCCTTAAAACCTCATGAGTGTGTCTATTGGGCAGCAATACCACAACATTAAGGATTAGACAGCATCATTCGGATGAGAGTTCAGGTCTTCAGAATCTTTTGGTCAGGCATTTTTCCTAGGAGTCTTTGCTCTTTTGGAGCTCATCTACTTTCAGTGCTGAGGGCAGAAACAGTTGGAGTAGTTAGCATTTCAGTTCTAGTGTTGTTGAATAAATTCTGCTACATATTATGGAGAGTGAAGACAGAGGAGGAAGTGAGTGGTCTGACAGTGGGCCAATATCAGGTGCAGTTAGTCTAGTCTGGTCTCAGGCACTAGGTTATTAATTACTCCTCTGGTTGGACTATAGCAACTTGATTTCATGCTGTAGTTGTGTCTCAGGGTGAGGTTGGGGAGGTGAGGGAAGATATAGGTAATGGAGCATTAAGGCAGATGACATCAACTGCTTTTGTTGTAGAAACATGTGTGTAGGTACTAAGTGTTGTTTTTGGCACTGGACTTTCAAGACAAGGTTGGGGAGGGGCAAAGATATCAAAACAGATGCCTTTGCCAGCCTGACGTGTTTTGAGCATATGATTTTCAACTCCCATTACATTTAAACTTATATGATGTCAGTACAGAAACATATATGGCAAATTGTTTAAGTTTCTTTCTTTTTTCTTTTTGAGACAATGTTTCCCTCTCGTTGCCCAGGAAGGAGTGCAATGGCGTGATCTCAGCTCACTGTCTTCCTCATGGGTTCAAGTGATTCTCCTACCTCAGCCTCCTGAGTAGCTGGGATTGCAGGCATGTGCCACCATACCCAGCTAATTTCATATTTTTAGTAGAGATGGGGTTTCTCCATGTTGGTCAGGCTGGTCTCGAACTCCCAACCTCAGGTGATCTACCTGCCTCAGCCTCCCAAAGTGCTGGGATTGCAGACGTGAGCCACTGCGCCCCACCTGTTTAAATTTTAAGAGCCATGGATACCATTAACAATAGCCAAAATTTAATTAGCACTTACTTTGTGCAAGGCATTATTCTAACTGTTTAACTATATTATCTCATATAACTCTCTTAAACAATCCTAAGTGGTAGGTGCCTTATTATCTGCTTTTACCTTATAGGGACACTGAAGCAAGGGGCACTTCAGTCTCCAAGAGTGCGTGGTGGAAGAACTGTCATTCAAATCTTTGGATAAAATCTAGCTCTTAGTGCTGGTATTGACTGCTTTTAAAAATAATTTAGTAAACATTTGATGTAAAGTTTCCTATTATTCCATATGTTAAGGTATAATGGATATTATAGTTCTCTGTACATATAGCGTATCTTTCTTTCCAAATTGAAAAGTATATAAACTGGAATCTTAAAATTCTTTCTGGATGACAGGATTATATCAGTATTTTCCCATTTAAATGTGGCAAACCAGTAGAGGATGGTCACATTAGACATATCTGGTCTTCATTTATTTCCATGTGAGCTGAATAAATTATAGGGTCAAAAGATAGAGTGAAATCTATGATCTATATGTTGACAATATAAATATCTTATAGGACACTTGACTTTTTTGTTTTCTAGCTTGAACCCCACTCCTTCTTGAGCTAGATTGGGAAGATATTGTCTGTTTTGGGGTGAAGAAACTCACATGTTTGGACAAGGTCATCTGGTGGCCTCAGGTCTAGATCTTCGAAGTCTTCCTGCTGAAGGGATTATCTTCTCTTTACACTAGGCATCTCATTTTGGTTCATCCAGTGGCATTTATTGAGGACCTCCAATGTGTATACTTCAATGGTGGGTGTTGAGCCATTTAAGATGATGGAAAAAAAATATGACTTCTCTCAAGCTCTCCTTTCTACATGTCAATCAAAGGAGATAGCTATCAACGTAGGCACAATAGCATTACCATAGAAATACTTACAGACTGGAGCTGGAATCCCTAAATATTGGGGCCCTGAGGAAGAAATTAAGCATTTAATGAGAGGAAGGTACAAAAGATGTGAAAGGAAACTTGATTTTAAGGTGCTTCAGAGTGCTCTAGGGGAAGACGAGGGGACTAGTGGACATTCTAAGCAGAATGGGTATGGTATGCTCCAGTAACTGAATATCTGGGTGTGAGGAGCAGGGGCATGAGCAGGTTTAACAAAGTAGACCGCAGAGCATTGTTCCATACCAGGGAGGTGGGCTTTATTCTAGGTCTACTTCTCCACCTGGTGTCAGTTTTGTGGGCACTTGGCTGTGTAGCAGAGGATACTTGGAGCTACAGGATAAATAAACATGCCTTCTCTAGAATACCAGTGATAGTGGCCTGCAAAAAAAACACAAAACATTGTTTTATATTAATTCTATAATCATTCATTCATTCAAAAACATTTGTTGAATGTCTACTGTGTACATTGTCCTAAGTGCTGAAAGACAGTGGAGAATAAAATCAGAAGAAAATTTGTACCATCAGTGAGTTTACATTTGCTGGGGAAGGTAATATGTTTGATAAAGTAAGTTTCAGGAGAAAAAATAAAGCAGTGGAGAGGGCTAGAAAATA